GGTTTCAACAAACTGATTATTTTCTGACAAAATTTTAATTACTACTGTTTTAGCTTTCTCGCTTATTTTGCACTTCATAATAAAAATTGTAAAAGCCAAATTTGTTCTTTAGCATGTAGTGATAATTTAATTTACATCTTTTAATACCTAGTGGTATAATATTTAATATAAAATATTTTCTGTGTCACATTACATACATTAAATGTATCATGTAAAATGAAATCCGAATGAAATTAAAATAATTTAAAAGACTAATTTAAAAGAAGAAAAATTTAGAAGACTTTTCTTTTCGATTAATAACTGCTTATTTTATTATTTTGATCAAATATAATCATATATATTCTTGATTCTCTTTGGTGTCTTTTTTACACAAGCATACAATTCTGTTATTTAAGACAATTATTTTTTCTAGATAGCGCATTCTAAATAACGTGGATTAAAATGTTATGTTATATTAAGGAACATACATAACAATTCTTTCTCAATATTAATGATCTAATAGGATTAATGAGAGAGACATATAGTTTTCATTTCAAAGTGTAGATTTTTTATTATTATCGAGAGTATTATTCCGCGAAAGCCCAATATAACATCTGGATAATCACTATATCAACTTGAACATTGCAATGTTGAAATCCCATGACATTTTACATCCGCATTCGCGGGCTTTTGCGTTATAAACTATACTTAAGAAGTTATGGACCGGACGGCAGACTGGTTTTCTTCGAAGGATGCTTTTCAGCGTCGTCATGGCGAGTTGGCAAGTATACGAAGTGCGGGTAGGACCGAGGGAACTCGGTTTATTTTTTATTTTAATCACGACCTTGCCAGCGCAGCAAGGATCTCCGCGTTTGTTGACCTGTATCGTCCTTCACCCCTGTTCTGTTGTACTCGTACCCCATCTTGTTCATCGAAGCCAATGGTCTCGGGAGGTAACATCTTATCAAGAACGGATGGAAATTTCTTCATCGCTGATGTCGTTTTATTTTGATGAGACTTGTAAAATTTGACTACGCTACAATTTTCTGGAATCTTCCGCACCGTCGAGTAATCATTGTTGAAAAATAAGTTCTTTGTTTTTTTCCAACGGTGCAATTTTGCATTAATATTCGCATTAATATTATTTATCGATTATATTCTAAAATGATAGAAACTGTTTCCAATATGAAGAAAATACTTTGCAGATCATTTGCAAGATGATAATAGATGAATATTACAAAAATAAACTTAATATTTTCTTAATATATTTACACGCTCATTAATACGTCAAAGTATCTACTTTAATTTTATGTACTATAACATCATTATCTATTTATATCAGTCGAAGAGTAAATGCTATGAAGAAAGCTGGCTGCTAATCCAAATTTAATGATCGAGGATTCAAACTAATTACACGCACATTGAATTTTATATCTAATACCACGGATGTTCTACCATTTTCTATCTATATGATGATTATGATTTATGACCTATAATTTAATATAAACAACTATGAAGTCGAAGACCTGAAGATCGGGCACTTTCCTAATAAGCGTCGATTTGCTTTTATTAACATATATCTAATACTAACGGCATTAAGTAATTCTTGCCTCTTCTCCTAGAGTAGTAGTAGCGGCACCATATTGTCAGACACGCGGCACACATTCCGCTTCGAGCAGTAAATTTTACAACGCGTGAATTAAGTGTCATCTCACAAATTTGTGTGACTTGTTAAAATCCGTGAAAGTAAATGTAAATCACTTTTACAGCTGTGAACGCTTTCGAAATTTTTGAAGCGCCTGGCGCCACACATAAATAAAAACAAATATTTAAATAGTGCTTTTTAATGACAATGTATTTTAATTTGTTTAATTGTTCCAATTATTTCTCATTTTAGTTTAAAAGGTTGTGCAAAAATATGCTAATATCTTTTCGATACACTTAGTCTTTACTGCCACTAACGCATGATGGCACTCGAATGAGTCACTCGATGAATTATCGGCCATTACTTTAATAGCAGCTTGAATTCTCGAGCTCATTACTATACGATTTTATGCAACTGTGTGTGACATCGGTATCAAGGTCGTATGATGAATGAGGCAAACTGATCGCGTATCAAACCGATCGATCATTCAAAAATCAAATTTCAGTTCAAACATTCTGCGATGTTTTTGACGACTAGTTTGTTAAAAGTGTCATATACATTACAAAATATATTTTCTGATTAAAAATTCAATACGTAAAACTGATCGCTTCCGTACGTAATCTGATTTCATTTTGTATTTGTCTAGATATTATGTTTATATAAATCTTATTTTGTGTTGGAGGTGATAATTATTTGTTTTATTTTACAGAAATTAAAATTACAGATCAAAAATATTAGGTTTTAATAATTTATATTATTTTATATTATAATAATTAATTTATATTTTTTTTATTTACCTGGAATTCTTTTACTTTTTCGATTGTTACTTTTTATTTATTGGCATATTATATATAAATTTCAAGCGTTTTTGAAATAAAGGATAATTTATAAATGTCATAAATCAGTTTTTAAGCTAAAACTTTAAATAATAGTTGACGGGGCCTAATATTTTTGGCCAAGGCTATATGCTTTTGCAAATTTATACATATATTACATATTGTAAATTTATATACATATATTAAAAAATGCACTGCATGCATATATATACATGCGAATATGCATCCAAAAAAAGAACGGAATAATGTGCGAGCCTTAAAATAGTGTAACAAAGAAACGATGCTGAACATGCGTGCTAAGCATGCACGAGCATACATACGTGCTATGCATATGAGCGTCTATCTCACAGAAGAGATGAATAGGAGAATAAAATCTAACGTAAATAAAAAAGATTTTAATGTCGTGTGTTTAAGGTATATAAATCACGGAAAGCGCTAAATTGAATGCCTGGTTGTCTCTATGTCAGTTTTTGCTACTAAGGTGTGTATCTGATTCAACTACGCCTGCTGAATAAAAGAGCGTGTGTGTGTGCCGTCATTAGTAATCTACACGTTTCCACCGGAGTCTTTCATCTCCAGATTTCTTCGATCAACGACTTGTCAGAGTGACGCCGCAAGTTATTTTGATAGCTGCTCGCAGTAAGACTGCCTCATTTTTTTGGGCATTGTCCCAGCTTAGACGGATATACGTTCGTGCGAATGGCCCTTTCTACTCTAACGATAAAAAGATATCTTCGAGAAAAATTACAATATTCCCGTTACTCGATCCGAGTACCAATCGAGCTAGTAGTTAATCTTTGCAACTTCGCCGTGACTTTTAAAATAGTTTTTGTTTCAACTACGATCGCTTTCAGACTAAAGTCCAATCTACTGTTTGATCGTGGATCTATTATAATTCATTGGACGTGCAATGACAAGAGAATTTGACTATTGCGACAAGAAAATTTTTATTATTGTGTGAGCACTTTTCTAGTTTTTATTGATTTCGAAATAAATCAGACACTTTTAAAATTCTGTTTTATGAATTAATTTTATATTTCGATACGAAATTTTATAATTCAATACGAACTTTTTCCATATTCAATATGATCTCTTAAATAATAATTATTTTGCTTAGATATATATTTATAAAAAAAAATTATTCAAGTTATAGATAAGGAAAAAATATTGTTTGAAAATATAATATATATCAGAAGAGATACAAATAAATTTAATTATTAGTATTGCATAATTCATCGATAATAAAAATAGCAGATGCAAGAATTTAGTATTGCCGTGTTCAAATATCTTATATCTCAAATTATATCTGAACTAAACTAAGTAATTATAAGACAGACATATACAAATAAATAATCTATTTCACTGACTTTCACTAGGAAGATGTCAAATGGCAATTTATGAACGTTGCTTTGAGTACGGAAGAAAGAGAAACAGAAGTTGGACATATCATGTTCATATATCGTATAATCTTAGTTTAGGTAATTTCTACACATCACGATTCTCGATTTTTTGAACACAAATCTGCACATGAAAGTTATTACGTTATATTAGCTTCTCTTACTTAGTTAGTATTAATAAAAGTAATTTATTGGATTAATCAAACGTCTATTTTTTTCATCTCTCATTACGTGTCCAATATTGGTGACAAACTCATGTCACCAGTTATGAATGATATATAATAATACTTAATCAGATAACAAATTGATTTGATCCTTTTTGTCCATTCTTTTTGTACTTATTAATTGCATGCAACAATGCCGCCTACTGAAGACATTGAGACGTTTTCTTTTATAGAAATATGCTTTTTTCTATTATTATTAAATTTATTATTTATATCTAATAAATATATGGTTATATATAATAACATTTTTTATGCTTCAATTTACATAGAATTAGAGTAAAAATTAATCATAATATATAGAAGAAAACTGATTTATAACGTAATATATGATTTATTAAAATGTAAAATACACAATTTTTAACTGAGAAAATTCATTTGCGGCAACGTTTAACAAAACTTTAGAACATTGTTTCTATAATGTTTTACTAATCAGGAAATAATGTAGAATTCTTATTTGATCGGCGATTTCACTTTAGTTCCGAAGAAACATAGACAATGAACATGTTTTGCGTTAGTAGTTCATATACAGTTTCATATACGCATCCACAAGTCTACCATCCAGCTCAAATAAACATATGATTATTCTATGTACATAGAATTACACACGCGAAAGTTAGCGAAAGATGCTGATTGCTTGATAATTCTGCCGATTAACGAACCGTGCTGATGGATTTGTTAATTAATGCGGGATCGCTGAAGATTGCGAGACTCACGTTAACTGACTTACTGCCCTGTGATATTGATCGTGATTTACAATATACAAGCACCTGTATATCTAGTCGAGAAAATTTTTCAAGTGTCTTGCACGGGGAAAGTTCTGTGTAATTACACAGTTCGCTGGGACGTCCGGAAATGTTTTTTTACTTAAGTCGGGCAAGCAAAAAAAACATCTCGTGCTTAATCTCATTGATTTTCTTAGGTCTGATGATGGAATCGGAAAAGAAAATCTTTGAGATGATGAACAAGAAGGCGGCCATGTCTAAATATTGGATGCCGTTAGTCTGGGCGACTAATATCATCAACAGGGCAAGGAAAGAAGCTCTGATTACTAGCGATCATGTAGTACAAACTCTCCTTGTCGAACTCAGTGACATCCGGAAGAGGCTTGGTGCATTGATTGGTTACGATACTGTCTGTGTTCCTCTAGTCTACACTCAGGTGAGTATTCTCATATAAAATCGATAAATGTTATATTAAATTATAACCTTTTTATATTAAGTTATCTAATTAAAAGCTCTATATATGTATAATTAAAAACGTTAATTTCTTAAAGTGTTTTGTTATTTCTCATGAAATTGAAATTATTATAAATATTTATGTGTGTAACAGATATTGAATTTTGTACTATTTGACTATTGAAATTTCATAACAAATTGTTGGATATCTGACTTAGTTGATTGATAAAAAATATATTATAACCAAAATTACGAATAAATTAAAAAGAATAACTCTATAAGAATTTGTACACGCAGAACAATTTGTAAACGCAGTATATAAATTCTAACAATTACAAAAATAATTAATTAAAATGAAAATAGTTTTGTGACTTCAAGAATTAAATATAAGTAAGTACATTGCTTCTGCAGTTGTTAGTGAATAATATATTTATAAGATGATAATGTATAATTTGCAAACAATTGGTATGTACTTATCGATGAAGTTAATATCTAACTCTGGATTTTCTCTTCAGTACTCAACTCAAGTGCAAAACCAGTAGTACTTTGTATACTGTAGTTAGTTTGTACTTGACTGAAGAGTTAAATTCGAGTTAAATTCAGAGTCGAACATTTGCAGTTAACTTCAACGATTAATATATCCTAAGTGTTTGCAAGTTATATCTTATCGCAATAATATCTTATAAATATATTATTTACGCACTAACAATAGCAGAGATTTATATTTGGATAATTTAAAAATAAAGAAATTCTAGTTTTATGCATTCTATAATACGTGCAAAAGATAGGAGAGGTTTCATGTGCAAAAGATAGGACAGTAATATTACTTTTGTAAGCTTTTTTGTTCATTTTTTCTCATATTAGCGCTATGAAAAAATTATTTATCGATAGTATTATTAGCAGATGTCGAATATATTACATGAATGTCTTATCATTCTCTAGTTGTGTCATTATTATACTTTAAGTGCTAGGAATATGATGCTAGGATTATTATGTAATTTTCCTCTCTTTCTCTCTCTCTCTCTCTCTCTCTCTCTCTTTTTCTTCTTTTCATTCTCTCTCTCTCAATATTGTATTCAATACATAATTTACATTTTATTTGTAATACGTAACATTAAACCGAAACTACAGATAAATAGAAAAGTCTGTTGCTAAATATTGGCCACAAATATTTTCAACATTATTTCAAATAACATGAATTACTTCGTAAAATAATGCATGTTAATTAAGTATATTATTATTTCTTTATCCTTTATAAATAATATATGTATAATATATGATATTAAATCATTTTTAAGAGGAAGTGTAATTGCTAAAAAAATGTTATTGAGAAAATGTAATCGATAATAATTGTGATTTGCCAATTAAAATTGTTTGCAAAATATTTTTTAACACATAATTTTACTAATTTAAACTATTAATATAATAATAGTGCACGCCAAACTATTGATTATATAGTTACATAGCAATAATTATTGTTTTTCATTTTTTTGCGTCATAAACCTTCTAAACCTTCCTTTTTATCTAGGATTCAGAAGAATACATAAGAATGTTGAAGTGAAATGAATCTCTTCTCGAAAGATTTCGTATTTAGCATGTATGCATTGTGCAATTGTAATTGTTCATCAACTAATTTCCTTAATTAACTGTGCAAAAGCTATTTTCAAGAAATTAAAGACCGCGTTATTTCGCAAATCTGGCGAACGTGATGCGACGGGAAGTTCCGTATAAGTCTTTGTTTTATAGAACGTTTTGTATTACCATCGAATTTTTAAACACTTTTCTTTATTCATTTTTTTATTATTATCAATAATTATACTCATTAATGTCTAAATATAAATATATAAATAGTAGGTATTCAAATACATTTATTGTTAACCAATGCACAATAGAATAAATAAAGATAAATTTATTTATTTTTATTTATTTTATTTAAAAAACGACAATTAATACTTCTTAATACTAAAATTATTTAGATTTATTATTAATTTGGGAAAAGCCAGTAAAGCAATGATGTATTACAGTATTTTTCTTATGTATAAATCACAATATAAATCTCTTTCAAGACGATAGTGCGATTCGACATACTCCGTGAAATCGCAAGAAGATTACGCGTAACGACCACAGAGTATTCACCGCGTAATGATACATCCGTCGATGATTAATACCTGTTTTGGATGCTCGCTGTTATTGCATTCACTTGCGTTTACACTGTAAACGTTTTTTTACCTATCCTTATAACAAACGATTTTAAAACATTGCCTTACCACGATCTGTCATGTATCATGTATGAAAATAAATCATTTTAACCTAAACTTGACATATAGAATATATTCTTATTTTCTACATGAAATATATAAATTTGCTTCTTATATTTTGCATATTTAAAAGAGAGTTGAATCATCGAAGGATGAATTGTAAAATAATTTATTTAATGAGACTTGACTCATTAAAATTTTTGAGAATATGTAATTATAGCACATTTTATTTTAATATAAGATATTAATGTTTGTGCTTACAAGAAGAAACCATAGTTATTACAGCTTATGAATGGACTGTACAATACATGTATATTATAATAAATTTAATTAAAAGGAATATTCCTTTGGCATTTTTAAACTTTAACCAATGCAGCGCGGATAATAAAACGTGCATGAAACACGAAGCCGATACATGTTGCATGGTCAAGGTCGACAAGAGAGTTGAACAGTAATTTTTCTGCGATACGTCACGCTTACGGGAATGATTTTACATTCAGAAGAAATCTTTTGGATTTGGTAATTCCGAAATGTACGAAGTCCACATGAAATTATCTGTTGTTTTTCTTATGCACAAGTCATACTATATTTTTGCATAAATTATCATTTCCTGGTAACCTTCAATAAGAAAGGCGGCGCTTGCAACGACCTTGATATTCATTCATTAAACCTGTTTGCTTGTACTTATATGATACAGAAAAAGTGACAAAAAGGAGTTTAACAAAGTTCGAGACTTCCGGTGGGAATAATTTCCTACCAGATCTTGTTTTACTTTTAAACCAACTGTTCTTTAAAAGAAATATAACACAACACGATAATCTTTCCTATTGTGATGAATGCGAACTTCTTTGTAAAAGTTACTCGCTCTATCTATGTTTTTTTTTATATTATATAATGATAATATAATGAGATAGTATAATAAAAACATTGTCACAAAATTTTCAATATATTTTTAGGTGGTAACATTATCGCTGTATGCCTACTTTTTCTCAGCTTTACTTGGCAGACAATTCGTCGAACATTCTAATGGCACCGGAAAATATGAAGAACCGGACATGTATTTCCCGTTTTTCACAGCGCTGCAGGTGATTAAAATGAACGATACTATCTTCAATTGTTGCTGATTGTTGCGTAGGAGTCTTCCTGCATAATCTTTAAGACTTTGTATAAAACCGATATAAATGTTCTTTGCAGTTTTGTTTTTACATTGGATGGCTGAAAGTTGCAGAGGTGTTGATTAATCCTTTCGGCGAAGATGATGACGACATCGAGCTGAATTGGTTAATAGACAGACATATCAAAGTATGTGAAAGCAAAAAGGCGATTATAAAAAATGATAGTTTTAAGAAATCTATAAACTATTATTATAATATTTATGAACATTTCTTACCAATATAGAAAAGTAGACAGTTACAGTAAAAAAATTGTGCATATAAATATTTTTTACTGTATATTTAAAATTTTTTTCTTTAACCGTATGTTAATATATTTTTTCTCACTGCACGTATAACAGGCAGGTTACATGATCGTTGATGAGATGCACGAAGAACATCCGGAGCTTCTGAAAGATCAATACTGGGATGAAGTTGTGCCCAAGGACTTGCCATACACAGTCGCTAGTGAGCAATATCGAAAAGAAGAACCAAAAGGTTCCGCGGAACATTATAAAGTAAAAGATAGCGATGCTCTTTATGCAAACGTTATGCTGGGCACACAGATTCATAGTCATGGTCAGCATCGTAAATCTCATCAGGATGATGTGTACGCCGATTATGTAAGTGAATTGTTTACAATAACAATAACGAAATAATTTTATAATGTAATTTTACAATAAAATTTTATAATATAAACTTTAACTTGCGCTCTTATAGAATTATATATTTATCGGTAAGACGTCTAAACAATTATGTAAGATCTCAATCTTTATTTTATCGATTTATATGAATTTATTCCACAATTTTGCCACATTTTTGATAATAAATCTCGTGCGTCCATTAGGAGAGTGTGGATACTCCATTAGTGGAACGAAAGAAGAATGGCTGGTTCCAAAGGCAGATCACCCGAGTTGGTTCGGTACGTAGTTCTTCAACTACGTATAGTAGCGGCGGTGGTTTTTTCACACGAAACCGACACAACAGCGTGTACAGTAGCCCTGAGACTGGTGGTCTCCCGCAAACAAATAATCCTAATCTCAAAATATCGCTCTACGATCGTCTCGTCGGACGAAAAAGCGTTCGAAGTCAGCGTATGGGTCGTCAAGGTGCGTAGAAGTTTTTACATTAACAATTATACGTCAGTCTTAATTTTCTTTATTTTTCAGATGTATATTCGCTTCGATAAAACCCAAACAATATTAATAATAATGTCTTATTAACTATATATAATTATATTTGTTTCATTTTAAGATACATTACAATTAATTATCGAATAAAGCAAAATAAATCTTTGAGAGTAGCAACATTTTCTTTTCTTACGCAAAATTATTTCAAAATGATTAATTAAATGTACAGCTTTTGTTTATTCTATTTTCATAATGTTTTTTTGTCTCAGTAATATGCTTTCGAAGAAAACTTGAGCAGTTATCAATCGAAGATTTTTTTCCTCTGAGTCATGAAAAATCATCTTAAAAAAAAGTCTCGCAAGCTTTTCCTTTATTGCTTCCACGTATGAGGAAAATTACGCAATATTCGATCTTGTGTGACCCCTGCAATTTCCGCGGTTATTTTGCATTCATGAGAAAATTTTCTAAAGTCCTTGTATTTCTTTTTACCCTTTTTCCTTCTTATAAAGAGAAAGATGGTATTGCAAAAGTATCATGTTCACGTCTCATATCTAATTATATTCTCGTCAGTGTAACTCGATATGCTTCCTGGCGCCAAAGCAATAGTCTAAAACTCATTTTCACGCTCGCTCGACGTAGTGGTTTTCAATCGAGAAATGTTAGTTTAATCGACAACGTCATTACATATTTTCTATGTACGTCCTCGAAATGATTCCGATTCCGGAACCAGTCAACCAAGCTAATATCGCTCTAACGGTGACCATAATTATTAATAATTGCAGGTACTATGACGAAGCTGAACTCGGTGCCAGTATCTTTGAAGAACAGACCACGCATACCAACTCCGGATGTGACGAAGGAGGTAATCGATCGTGAACAGAGGTTGGCTTTGTCCGCCGCTAATGCGGCAAACATCGGCGCAGGTGTGGTGGGCGTGATACCAGCAAACGGTCACTATCCAACTGATTTGTCGGTAGTGGTATTGTCGCCGATACAGGAAACTGAAAGCACGCCCGCCTCGGGGAAATCAGGAGCGGCGGCTTTGGCGCAGGCCGTGCTTTCGCCGACGTTAACTAGCGCTGGCCTAATGACGCCAGTTACCTTAACACCGGTCACTATGGGTCATCTGACGCAATTAGGTTTGATGACGACGGCGACAACAACGACGCCACATCTTAATAATCAGAATAACAGCGTCCAGGCGACATTGACAGAGGTCACAAGCAGCGAAGAGGAAGGTAGCGGAAGCGGTAGCAGCAGAAGCGGAAGTATCACTGGACAAGAGGATCGCTCAACACCATTGATCGACAACAACAACAGCCCGATGGGTAGCAACGGCAGTTCACCCATTTTCGATGGCTACAATGATCGTTCGCCAATCTTGATGAGACCCGAGAAATTGGGCTATGTGGTCGCTGCTGTGCCCGGAATTCAAGCCAATAGGGCGATGGCGATAGATGCGCGAGGTAGACGATCGGCCTCGCTGCCCGGTCCACCAGTATCACCGGCGCAGCCAAGTAATGACAGAAGCATGTCGTTACCACAATCTCCAGGATTGCAACCGAGAGAAATTCGCATAGCCTCCGTATCGAATAGACAAGATGGTTTTGCCATGGACAGGCTAATCATCGGGTCCAATAATCAAGGCATTCGATCGAGGACCAACAGTTTCGGTCATGATCTCTCCAGGTCCAATCAAAGGGGCCAGGATGCCTCAAGAAAAATTAGTACCATCTCGTGTACAAATGCGTCGCTTTCAAATAGCACGACATCCCCGACGTCATCTACGAGCATATCTGCCACGACGACCGTCACCAGTAGCAAGAGAGGAGAAGTTTACGTTTGATGGATGAAATCGATAATTTCTTTATTCATTCAACTAATTAGACTCAAATTAGAGAATGCATTCTGATGACGCATCCTGAGAGTCATCGTCGTCCATTAATACATCTTGTATATGCACTTCATGTAACAGATCTATTCATTCCTTGATTATCTAAATTTTTTATTGGTGAAATTATTTATTAATTAATATCTATGAATTTTCCTAGAGATACTTCGTGTTTTCACTTATAAATCTTTCTAAATCGCATTGAACAGAAGTAGCATTCTATTTTATCTTATATATATTCTCATAAAAATTTTTTGATGAAAATTCTTCTTTATAGATCGATTGTCCTGATAAAAATCTAGATTTCCGAAATGGATAACTATTTTGCTTCATACTTCTTTATTTACAATTTAATTTTTAATCTTTAATTTTCTAAACTCTTAAAAACAAGATATATATGGGATCGAATCCAGAGAATCCGCCGACTCTCACAAATTTTTCTTTAGGATTCCTGGTTAATTATCGTAACATATTTTCTTTTCTCTAGAAATAGCATAATTATTCTTGATAAATATAAGAGATAGCACATGCTCTCTTTCTCTATCTCTTTACTATATATCTTCTATAGTCTTATTATTTATATTAATTTTGTTGTATCTTTTAAAATGTTTTGTACTTAAAATGTAAAAAGGTATAACAAGAGATGTTTTCCAAACATTTTATTATAAATTGCATTGGTCGCATTTACAAGTACGTCTTTAGCGATCAATGAAGGAGAATAGTTAGTAAGTTTCGCCATTATGTTGTAAATAATAATTTATATATTAAAGACTTTATACATATACAATATATATGATGATCAATCTTAGGAGAATATATTTAAAATATATTTTATATATGTAACTATTAAATTCTTTCTCTATCTATCTCTCTCTCTCTCTCTCTCTCTCTCTCTCTCTCTCTCTCTCTCTCTCTTTCTTTCTCGACTCAAGCATAAAACGATTAATCTTCGTGAAAGCAAAAAATCGAATAACTTATTGCCAATAGTTATTCGATAGTGTTGTATAGTCGATTATTTACACTCACAACGAAGAAAAGTTTGAAATATAATGTTTAAAGCGAAATACTTTTACAATTTAATGGGAAATATTGGAAATATTTTTGTACCGTTGTGCAATAATGTAATACTGTAAGAAGACATCGATTAATATTAAAGTGCAAAGTACTTGTTGCTACGTTAGTTAATTTGTAATTAGTTAATTTTCATTCTTATAATACTTTGTTACGAATTCGTTCGCATACGTCATGATATTGTGATACCACTTTTTTATAGATATCTAATATAACGTTATTATAACACTACGACAATCGTGAATTAATAATATCGAGAGAAATCAAATTCATTAGTCATATAATATTCATTTTTTTGTATATAGCTAAATTTTTGATGAGTTTCTCTTTTCTTTCTTCATTTTATTAAAATTTTCCTACATTCGTATTATTATAGATTTTATGAGTGCAAAATATTGTTCATTCTTCACGTCGAATATCCGAACAGTATATAAATCGGTATTTTATTTGCTATTTTTCTATATATATCACGTAAATGATGATGAATTATTTTATATAAAATATTTTATATAAAAAATATTTTAAATATTAATTATTAAAATATTCGTAAAAGATTTCGTAGTGATTGCGTAACATTTCTTCCGATATTTCTCTAATATTCCATTATTTTTTATTTTAATCGTTAATAATTTATAAGATAAATAAATCAATTAAAATATAAATGATATTGACAGTACGATTATAATGGAATATATATAGAAATATTTTTTGAAAAATCATGAAATATTTTAACATTATATTATACTACTATATTTAATCAATGGGGAATGGTTTAGGACAACGCGTTTTTTGTACGTTTCTCGATAATTGATGTACAAATGTGCATTACAGCTCAAGTAAGAAGTTTAATATTAATATTAATTAGTGTCTATTTTTACTACAAATGTATTAGTGCAATCACATTTTGCAATAGAAAAAACGTTGCAATTTCATCGAACCTATGTATATAATTTATATACCTATGTATATAACTTATTAAGTTAATATTTTTATCGAAATATAAGAATATGCTCAATGCGCGTAAACCTAATCCATAAACGACAAAGTGATATATATATATATATATATA